TGTTTTTTCAGTTTTGCAGAACTTTTAAAAAGAAACAGGGCACATATACACTTAAAAAGGCCTTTTGAGCTATGAGTTTTTAAAAGTCTTTTAAGGGTTTCTAGGCGAGAAAATGATTTGCCACATTCATTACAAAAAATGGTTTTCACCTGTATGTTTTCTTTTGGGGAGTTACCAGATGAGCTTTCGTGTAAAAGCCATTTCAGTTGAACAAACAAAGGTTTCCTTCCTGTGTAACCCAGGTTTTTTTTTTAGGGCCTTTTTTGCCATAAATCGTCCCAAAAAATGGGCCTAAAAAGGGCCCTTTCTCCCTTGATTCTTATGTGTCGGCCCGTCCCCTGATGAAGAAAAATGGTGACTACGGGCATAACATGGATACCATTTTCTCCCTTTTTTTTGTAATAACATTTATTTAAGTCTCTTTTTAATATTTTTGTTTTTAGGTTTAAGGGTTGGACATTTGATGGCTTTCAATTTCTGCTTTTGTACGGTTTCATGAACTGTCCCCTTTTGTTTGTTGTAGTCCATTTTTGAGTTGTTTCAGAGTTCCCTAATTTCTCCCTTTTAGTTTCCAATTTTCCATTTTGAATTTGATCCAAGTTCTTTAATTCATTTTCTTTTGCCTGGGGTATTCAATCTTGACTTAGTTTCAGAGTCTCAAAATTCTTTTCCCCTGAAATCTCTGTTTGTTAAAATTTCCCATTTAAAAGTTTTTTTTAAAAAAAAATTGCCCAAAAAGCATGGGAAAAATCCTTTGGCCCAAAATTGATTCGTGTCATTTTTTTTGGTAGCTGATCCGATTTTTCTGTAAAAGATTTTCCCGGAATTTTCGTGCCCTTCCAAGGTTCTCCCCTGGTGAAGAGAGTTTGTAGTTGCATTTGAACAGAAAAAATTCTGAATTTTCTGTAAACTGTCCCACAAGCGGTAGTTAGGTTCACTGTATGTGTTGCCCTTATAAAAGGAAACCATGCATTTGTGAAGTCAATTACATTGTACATGTATATGGAAGCTTAAATATTCCAAACGAACAGTGCGGGCCCGAAAAAGAAGTTTTTTTTCCTAGAAAATTTGGAATTTTTGTTTTCTTTAAAAATTTGGGAAGAAATTAAATTCATCAAACCCAAAAAAATTAAATTTTTTTGTGTTTCAGTATTCTGGGATATGAAACCCATATCTTTACTTTCCTCATTATACCTTTGAGATTTTTTCACCCACTTTTTCTTATATCTAGAAGAAATTATTGCACGGGAAAAGATGTATGAATGGCAGGGTTTGCTTATTTCCCTTTAACAGGAGTGTGTTCCCCTTTTAAACCTCTTCACTGTTTTTGCAGAACTAGACAGCAAAAAATGCTGAGAATGAACCTATACATGGATCTTCTGCTTTGCCCTCCAACAAAGGGAAACACAGCTGGATATTTAACATTTTCTTCCCAGTACATCATCCGCATGTATCCTGCTTTTTTCTTCTGTGCAAAACTGCTCCATATTTCTGTAACTGGACCTTTTTGTTTTTTTTTGTAAAAAAGCTTTTTCCTTTTGTTTAGAAGGAACCTTTCCCCCTTTTCTCCCAAAAAAGGGCCACAGCGTGGTCATTAACATTTTTTCTTCATTAGCTTGGGCGCCTACATACTGTTTATTTTCTTCTTGATACAATCTTTATTTTTTCTTGTAATGGACCTTTTTGCTTTTTTTTTGTAACAAAAGTTTTTTTTTTGTTTGAAGGCACCTTTCCTTTTTTTCTAAGAAAGGAGCACACACATGGATCTTAACATTATTTCTAAGAGCATTGGGCGCACTCAACTGTTTATTTTTTCTTAGATAAAACTTTCCATATTTCTTGTAAGGGGACTTTTTTCTTTTCTTTTGTAACAAAATTTTTTCCTTTTTTTAGAAAGGACCTTTTCCTTTTTCTCAAAAGGGGAAAAAAAGCATGGATCTTAAATTATCTTTTTAGAGCATTGGGGCATCATACGTTTATTTTCTTCTATAGAAAAACTCTCTCCCTATTTTTTGTAATGGCCATTTTTTCTTTCTTTGTAAAAAAGCTTTTTCCTTTTTTTTAGAAGGAAATTCCTTTTTCTAAAAAGGGGGGCAACGCATGGATCTTAACATTTTCTTTTTAAGACATTGGGCAGCACTCATACGTTTATTTTCTTCTATAGATCAAACTTTTCTATTTTTGTAATGGACCTTTTTTCTTTTTTTTTTGTAACAAAAGCTCTTTCCTTTTTTTTAGAAGGCACTTTCCCTTTCTCTAAAAAGGAGCAAACCCTGGTTTGAAACATTTCTTCTTAAGAAAAATTCCACTGCATATGTTTATTTTTTTTTGTACAACCTTTCCTTTTTTGTAACTGGAATTTTTTTTCTTTGTAACAAAACTCTTTCCTTTTTTTAGGGAAAATTTCCCTTTTTCATTTTTTTCTCTTCTTTTTCCCGAACTTTTCCTTTTCTTTTGTGGGGAAAAAAATTTTTCCCTTTTTTTTTAAATGAAATTTTTTTACAGTTTCTGTCAAAATTTTTCTTTTTTCTTGGACTAAACTTTTTTGTTTTGTTACAACCCTTTTTCCTTTTTTTTGGTAGATAGATTGGGTCCTACCCTTTTTTAGTAGAACTCTAAACTTAAATTTTTCTTTTTTGTAGCTGGAACCCCTTTTTCATTTTTCAAAAGGCTTTATTTTTGTTTTAAATTTTTTTTTTCTTTTGCTTTAACTTTTTTTTTCTTTTTAGCTTGAACCTTTTCCCTTTTTTGGAAAAATTCCTTCATTTTTGTTGACTAATTTTTCTTTTTTCGGGGTGAACTTCTTTTTCCTTTTAACTGAACCTTTTTTTTTTTTTAACTTTAACCTTTTTTTTTTCTGGTGAGAATTTTCCTTTTTTTTGAGTAGAATTTTTTTTTTCTTTTCTTTTTAGTTTAATTTTTTTTATTTTTTTTGTAGTTGAACTTTTTTTTTATTTTTGCCTGAACCCTTTTCATTTCCCCGGTTTTTAACTTTTATTTTCTTTTTGGCGAAATTTTACAATTTCTTTTTTTGGTTGAAAACCTTTTCTTTTCTTTTAAACCTTTTTTTTTACTTGAAAACTTTTATTTCTACCTTTTCTTTTTGCTTGAACCTTTTTCATTACATTTCAAAGCCGAAACCTTTTTATTTTTTTTTTTAAAATGAACCTTTTTGTTTTTCTTCTAAGTTGGCCCCTTTTCTTTTTTTGAGTTTTAACCTTCTTTTCTTTTTTTTTTGGGTTTTCAAATTTCTTCTGAGTTTGAAATTTTTATTTTTTTGGTTTGAACCCTTAATATTTTTTCTTTGAAACTTTTTCAGTTTCTTTTTCGTTAAGTTCATTTTCTTCGTCAAAACTTTTAATTTTCCCTTTCAGAAAAAGCACTTTTTGTTTTCTTTTTCAGAAGGACTTTTTTCTTTATTTCATTTGAAATTTTGCTTTTCCCCCCCTTGTGTGGGAAAATTTGTTTTTCCAAAAGTTGAATTTTCTTTTTTTCCCAAAAAGACTGCAAACAAAACTCATAAAAATTGTTCATTTTTTTTTAAAAAAATAAGAGCAGCCTGGATCCTATGCTGCTTGTAAACGTTGGCCCAGATTAGCTTATTTTGAAGTTTTAAACACAAAAGATTTTTCCTTCTTTTTCAAAAACACGGGCCATTAACTGTGCTTTTCAGGAATTCAGATTCTTTTGTTTTATTTTTGGAAAAAACAACAAAAATTGTTCCCTTTTATTTTTCATATTAAAACAAACTTTAAAATCCAATTAAAAATCATCTCATGGGTTTTTTCCAAAGATTTCACTTTTCCAAAATTCCCTTTTTTCTTAAACTTCAGATCCATGGTTTCTTTCTCAATCCTTTTCCCCCTGGGGGAATAATATCTTTTTTTTTTCAAAAATGCTATAAACCTTAAAGTTTCTTTTGCAGAATTTGGGACTTTTAATCCTCCTCGTTTTTGATTTTTCCCTTTTTTGTTTAAACCGGGTTCCCTTTTGGGAAAAGAGGTCTTTTTTTCACCCCCGGGTCTTCTTTTAAACAACCATAATTTCATCAAGATTAAGACATTTTTCTGCATTTGATCTGGGGTCTGGGGAGCAATAAATTTCTCTTTAAATTTTTTTGTTTATTCTTTATTTTTAAGCTTATTTTTTTTTAAAAAAACCTTTTGATAAACCAAAAAAAGGTCTTCCCTTAGAAAAAACGTGAAGGTCTTTACCCCATTGTTTGCTCTAGTTTCATTTTGAAAATTTCAATAAAAAGTTTTTTTTCAAATGCCGTTTCCCTTTATCTTCAAATTTCTTTGGTTTTTGATTTTCAATAATTTCATAAATTAAAACTTTGAATCGTCTATGTTTTTTTTACCGAATTTGAATTTGAAGAAACTTCATTTTTTCTTTTAATTTAATTCCCTTCTTTTAACACAAACGCGAACATTTTTTATATTCCCTTATTTTTTCCTGCTAGTTTTTTTCATTTTCCCTAAAATCGTCTTTTTAGGCCTTAGAACCCGTTTCTTTGCTTTTAGAGGTTTTTTTGGGTTTTTACTTTTCCCACTTTTTTTTTTTTCTTATTTTCTGCCTTTTTTTACTTGTTTATAGAACAAGGATGGAGTGATTTTTATTTCAAAAACTTCTAAAAAAATAATATTAAAACTTTACCAAAAATAAAACCCTTTTTCTATTATTTCATTTTAATTTTCTTGAAGCTCCCTGATTTTTTCTTACTTTAAAATTAAGGGTTTTTTTTAAAATCTAAGTTTTCAGTTCATAATTACCTTTCAACTTCCCTTAATTTTATGTGTGTTTATTTCCTAACATCGAATCACTTCAGGTACCCCCCAATTTTTTTTAAAAATTTTTTGTTTTTTTAAGGTATTCAGTTAGACCTTTTTTTCTTGCTATCAGCACCTTTTATAAGAAAGGAATTAGGTTCATAATGGGATATATTTCTTGCCTGGTTTTTTAATTAGGGTTATTGTAAATTTTTATTGCTCTTAAATCTGGGGATTACTTTATTTTTTGTGGCTCTGACATCTTAGAATAGATGACCACCCAGTTATCATCCATTTTGACAAATTTTTCTGAATGAGCTTCAAAATTAAAATCAGTCTGGAGGCACTCCTCCGGTGATGATACTGCTTTTCTCTTCATGGAGCAAGTACTATTCAAATTATTATCAATCTCTGTGCAAGAGTCTGATTTTGATGTTACCATTTTTGAATCTTTTTTCTTAATTTCTTTTGGGTCCTTTGCTGTATCATTAGTGCTGACAGTAGAAACATTTACACTAGGAATTACTTTAACAGTCACTTCCTTAGAAATTCTCTTAACAAGGTCTTGAACACTTGGCATATAACTGCCACTTTCACTGATGCTATTTGATGATTTTTCTGGATGTTTTTGCTCTAGTTCCACTACTCTTTTTCCATACACAGATCTGCTATTTGTAGATTGAGCTACATGTGTCATGGTGGAAATTTCATCTAAGTTATTCCTGCAATTAATGATGCTCCTGTTAACAGCAGTATCTGAGGTATTCCTATTTTCTTCAGTACTTCCCTCATCTCTGCCTTTACAATTATCAAACTCATCTTCAGCTAATTTATCATGAGGCACCACAACATTTTCAGCAACCTCAAGTGCACTGTCATACACTATTGCACAACAATCATTTTCTTGGGATATTCTTGCACTATTAGAAATGCATTTACATTTGAGATGATTTTCAGGATTGGCACTATAGCTATGGTCTTGGAAGATGATATTATCATCATCTCTCCTAGAACACTCAGAGTCATCAGTTATTACATCTTCTACTGCGCCAATTTCTCCAATTCGTTCTGGAGAACAACGTAAATAGTTGGGTGCAAGCTGACCTGGACCTACAATTGTGGGTATAAAGGGGGAACTTTCCATGTGACCATCTCTATTTGGGGAAGAGTAAGATCTATAAAGCTGCTTATTCCCACCTTTGTTATTTAAAGTTTGACAGGAATTGGTTCTTTCTCCGCTTATTTCTTCCTCTGAGTGATTACTTTCACCAACTATATCAAACATGGTGGGAGACTGTGTGCCTTCAGCTTCAAAAGGAACCAACATAAAATCGTCTTCCCATGGAATGAGGCCATCTTCCTCGGATGATTCCTGAAGTGCTGTGCCAGTCCCTATACATACTCGAAAGCACCCATTACCTTCATTAGACACTTTCTGCAATGTTCCACACTGCTCCTTTTTTTCAGTACATTTACTTGTCTGACTTTGAAGCTGCAAAGTTTGATGATGATCAGTGGACACCCACTGTCTTGCATCTTGGTTTATTGCAAAAAAATTAGGTTTCTCAGAATTTGCTTCTACATTTGACAGATTGCCTCCATTATGTTTGTTTAAAATTAAAGGGTTCAGCAAGTACTGTGTTACATGGTGAGGGGCCACACAATTTTTATTTTCCCCTATTTTGCATGAATTGTGATCTTTTACCTGATTTTTATTGACAAAGATTCTTTCTGTGGGGATTTGATTAATTTTATGACATTCAACATGTGTATTAACTCTTGAACCACCACCAGTTCTCAAGTGTCTACCTGACTTTTCACGAGTGGTATGACATACTATTGTAATTTTTCTTCTACACAGGTGCCCACCCTTGTCTGCACATTTATCATAATGCAACGCTTCTGTTTCATCTCTCTTCCTCTTATTGAAAGATAAATCCTGTAAATTGGGTGGGTTTTCACTGCAAGTAATCAAACGTGTAATGTTATTGTTACCCCTACAGTGTTCACCAAGGAACTTCCGAGTGTCCATTTTTGTATCTGTATATCTTTCCACATGTGTGTTATCAATGTTATATCCTGGTGTTACAATATCACATTCCGAGTCAAACCCACTGAAGCAACTTTCTGTCTCACTACCACGGTTATCACTGTCACTGAAGAGACTTCTATCATCAGACTCCTTGTTTGTGATAATCAACTGCGATTGTGAGTTTATGATGTTATGCAAGTCTTCTCCAATTCTCTTCATCGTGAAGGGAACAGCAACATAATTCTGAAAGAAGAAATAGACCATTTATTAAATTAGGTATCTTTTTCTTTTCAACACACCTACCACAGCATAGATATTATAAGATTAAACTGATATTTTATGCTATTCACATTCAAATTTTTATTTCTTTTTATGCAGTGTAAAAATAATGTAATTTACAGGTAATAAAACATTGTCAGGTACAATGCAATGTATGCAATGTATTTTGGGCAAACTAACCTAAGAATCAGACAACGTATTAAGTAGGATTTCATATACAGTTAACCAGGAATACCTTGTTTATATGCAGCACAAGAAGCCACAACTGAGTCAAGAAAGTGGAGCATACTCAAGGTGCGAATGTACTTGTGTCTCATACAGAATCTTGCAACCTCTACTGTCAAGCAGATGTCAGATACGTCTAAGTGCCGTAAGCTTCCTGGCAGGTTTGTTTGTAAGATTTACAACATAGTTCTTCATAGTCAATTTGGAGTCAAATTTCATCCCAAAGATATCAACTTCATCCCCTGGTACCAACACTCTCCCAGTCTACTTACTATTGCTTTGGCATAACCATCATGGTGCCTAAAGACCATCATCATCTGTGTTTTCTCAGGAGCAAATATGACCTACCATCATTTTCCTCAGGCTAATAAAGCTGTAAGTTGGCAACTGATGCAACTTAAGAGCAGCTGGCATTTCCTTGCTTGGATAAGTAAATGTCAGAATACAGTCGTTTGCATATGCATGGGATTCTGGGATGAGATGGAGGTAGTTGAAGCAGATATTCCATAACAATGGTCCAAACACACTTTCCTGTGGAACACTTGCACCAATAGGGTGTCTTGTTGACTCTGTCCTGTTGAGAACTACTATTAGAGATCTACCATGAAGGTAATTACTGTGGAAGCATAGCGCAGAGCTGGCAATTCCTGGTGCTTGTAGCTTTGCCAAGAATCCCCGGTGCCATACTTGATCAAAAGCACCAGCAACATCTAGTGCTACTACACAGCTGACCTTGGATTCATCCAGTGACTGGTGCCACTTACTGGAGAGGTTTAACAGCAGATCAGCAGCAGTGACTTTTTCTGAAGCCATATTGACGGTCACAAAGAAGCGAGTGGTAGCTGAAAAATGCTGTCATTTGCGGTGAGATTATTGTCTCAAGACTACCACCATAAAGTGAAAATTGCCACAAATTCACTTTGTGGCAATTTTCACCTTTTTTTTCACTTTTAAATGCATATATATGTCCGATAACATGTTTACACTATCATATTACATGAAAAATTGAGCCAGGTCTAATAATAAAAAAGTAAAATGCACATACAGTACACTCATTACTTACCTTAACCCTTTCAGGGTTTCCGACGTACTAGTACGGCTTACGCGCCAGGGTTATTGATGTAGTACTAGTATGCGTAAATTCTAGCGCCTTCAAATCAAGCGGGAAAAGGCTGGCAAGCCTAGATGCGAGAAAATGGGTGTGCATGGTTGGTGTGCGCAGTAGAAAAAAATTCAGGGACCCAGTGGCGCATTGTGGGAACGCCATTTTAGTACACTCTGCTCACCATGCCTCGTGGTAAGAAACTCCTCACTCCTTGGCAAACTGGGACGCTTAATACCATAATACCGGTAATAGTGAGGAAAGCTCAGACGACCCTCAGCCTTCCACCTCTGCTGCTGGGCCATCTTGTTCACGTTCAGTTGCACCAGAATGAAAGAGGAAACTCCAATTTCCCCATATCCCGGATTCGGATGTGAGCATTGGTGATGATGGTGAATATGAACTACAAGCTCTTGAAAACAGTTCCAGTAGCGATAGTGAAGTGGAATATTCTCCAGTGCAGCGTCGGAATATACAATGGCATATGCGCTCTGGTAGTGTACCATATGCTATTCCAAGGGGAAGGAGTACATCTCGGAGTACATCCCATGGCTGTACAACAGGAACAGATGGTGAAAATGAAGATGATAGTGTTGCAATTGGGATGGAAAATGTGCATGGTGGAGGTAGTGGTGGTGCCGGCCATGAGGCACCAGCAGTGGGCCATGCTGCCACCCATGTCGCTGCCTCAGCTGATCTACAACAGAGGCCACCATCACCCACCCACCCACCACACCAGCCTCTACAACCACAACCTTCACAACCACAACCACAACCACCTGTCAATATCCAGTACCCACCAGCAGACCGCACCTGGGATTGGCAGGAAGCTGGCAATTTTGTTCCGAATCCCCATCAGTTTGATGAAAGTCAAAGTGGAATACGGCAATCTTGTACACTTAGGAACAATGCCACTGAACTGGAATGGTTCGAGTTATTCTTTGAGGAACCCCTGATGGAAATTATTGTCAGGGAAAGCAACACATACTTCGATTACACCATGGCAAATACAATACTTTCACCAAAATCATGCCTACACCAGTGGAAGGAGACAACTGTGGCTGAGATGTATCTTTTCTTTGCCACAATAATGCTTATGCCACATGTGTATAAGCAGTGTCAAATCATACTGGTCAACAGACCGCCTGATTGCAACCCCAGGATTCAGTGATATAATGCGAGTGAATTGATTTGTACTATTACATATGCTACACTTCTCAGACAAAACCAGGCCTGATAGAAACAACAGGTTATATAAGATTAGGAATGTGTTTGTGTATCTGAAAGAGAAATTCAATATGTATTTTTTTCCCTTCAGGAAACTTGTTATTGACGAGTCTTTGAATCTGTTCAAAGGAAGACTCTCATTCAAGCAGTATACACCAAGCAAGAGGAAACGCTTTGGTATAAAGTTATTTGTGCTTTGTGACTGCTACAGTGGTCTTGTATTGGATATTATTGTGTACACTGGAAGTTATATATTGCAAAATACCAGGCAGTTATTGGGCATCTCTGGTGATGTGGTTAGAACAATGATGGAACAATATCTTGGTAAGGGGCATATATTATATACTGATAACTGGTACACAAGCCCCTCACTCAGTGATTTTTTTGCGAGTGAACATGACAGATGCGTGTGGCACAGTAAGTGCAAATCGTAAGCATAAGTCCAGGTTTGACGCTGGCACTTGTAGAGGTGAGGTGCAGGCGTTTACTGCCAATGACATCATCGCATTTCGGTGGCATGACAAATGAGATGCCACACTGTTGTCATTAGTTCACCCTAACAAAATGACAAACACTGGCAGGCAGAATAGAGAGCAATGAACCCATTCTAAAACCTGCAGCTGTGATTGATTACACCTTCAATATGCGTTCAGTGGACAAATGTGACATGCAGATTGGGTTTGCTGATTGTGTTTGCAAGAGTTATAAGTGGTACATAAAACTCTTTTTCCATCTTCTGGACATTTCCATGCTCAATGCTTATAATATGTATAAGATGAGGACCAGAAACACACCATCTTATGGAGAATTTTGTTTGTCTGTCATCAGACAAATAGTATTCAAGTACCAAGGAACAACACCTGCAATAGAAAACCGCCCACTAAATTATCAACAACTACCTTCTGGTCTGAAGCATGGTGATCACTTCCTAATACAATTGCCTGCTACTGCTTTCAAGAAAAAGGTTCAGAAGAGGTGTTACGTCTGTGCACATACAAAAAAAAAAAAAAAACGCCCACAACAAAGCAGAGACACTCGTTTTATGTGTGAGGAGTATAAAACACCACTGTGCATAACACCATGTTTCAAAGAGTTCCACAGGCTGCAGAACTTCTAGAAACATGGTCTGTGACTGCATATGTGTATATAAAATATAGAAAAATAGTAATAAACAACATTTTATATTGTTCATTTCTGTAAACAAGTTTAGTAAACAATGTAGTGACAACAGTGTTTGTGCAGTTATTGTGTAGTAAATAGAGAAAAAACTTACAAAATAGTGCTCATATTGGTTTCACAGGCCATAAAGGTTACTTGAAAAAAAAATTAAAAAATACAGTAGGGCCCCGCTTTACGGCGTTCTGCTTTACGGTGTTCCGCTAATACTGTCATTTCAAATTATTACCAAAACTTGCTATACGGCTCCCCCACCTGACTTTCAAATGCGGTCACCGCGCTCCACCCGGCTTGTTTACATTCTGTGAGATCCATAAGCAATTAGTCTCTCCATTATGTCTGAAAACTCAAAAATTTCAAGTGTTTTTAAAAGTTATTTCATATTTTATGTTTACATGTACTCTGATAATTATACTTATGTATACCTGTATCTAAATAAGCTTACATACTGTGCTGGTGTGCAGGTACACATTAAAATCAGTAAGAGTGTCTTATGTCTCAAGATGTCATATTAGTAATGATAATAATCACCGAGTCTCATTTAAATGTCATATATTACGTTAATATACACATTTTCATTAATCCATCTATGATATTTTTTCAAAATTATATAATAAACACGATGCATAACATATAAAGATGATAAATACACCCCACAATAGAATAAATAAACAAATATAAGATGTGGCAGCCAGACGACTTGCACAAATGACGCCATATTAGAAATGATGATAATAATAATAATAATCACCGAGTCTCATTAAATGTCGTATATTACGTTAATATACACATTTTCATTAATCCATCATGATATTTTTTCAAAATTATATAATAAATACGATACATAAGACATAAAGATGATAAATACACCCCATAATAGAATAAATAAACATAAATATGAGATGTCGTAACCAGATAATTTGTACAAGTGACGGCAAGAATAACATTTTCTCTAGTCTAACATAAGAGAAAATGTGTTACTGGGGGTAACTGTAGAAAATTACTCCTTTCGTATGTATGTAAGTTTATTCAGGTATACACAAATACAGTTACATAGATTATCATACATAACAGCATATGTGCAGAGAACTTAGGACAACCCAAAAAAGTCAGACAGAGTGACTTATTTCCACTGCCTTCACTCAGAGCATCATTTCTTCTAAAAATGGTGTTACATGAGAATGAGAGTGTTCTTCTTTATTTATTCTACTGTATCAATGTAGAGACAACTTGT